GAGCAGCACTGAATGAGGTTTGAGCTGGTGCACAGGTGAGTGGGGTGGGGTCACAGAGAATCGCCAGCATGGGCCAGTGGTGTTAGCCAAGTTGATGAAGACTCAGATACGGCATCCATCTGTGCCTGCAGGCTGTGCTGGGGGGAGGGCTCAACAAAAGAACAATGGCACCTGCCAGCAGTTTTGTCTGCCTCTCTAGCCCTCACCCTAAAGCCAGACAATTCATTTCCTACCCATATGGGCCTGGTGCTTTGTAAGCTGCTGTCCCTTCTCTGTTGCTTAAGGTGAGGGCAAGCAAGTGAGTCTGTGTGCTGACCCTTTAAGAGGATTCCTGGGTCTACAGCTGCCCTGGCTCACCTGATGGAATCCCTGCTGATTTCACAGCCGGATGGTGTGGGGACTTCTCTTCCCTTTACTGGTGCTCCTTGCTGGGGAATCTAGTGTGTGTCTGGGGCCCCTCTCTCCTCAGGGGGGACCCTCAGCAGCTGAGGTATCCCTGCTGATTCTTAACTGCCACATGTGGGTGTGGGACCAGCCTGTTAAGTGTCTCTGCCTCTCCTACCAGTCTTGATGTGGCTTCTTTATATCGTTTTTAATAAAAAAAATACATATATATATATTTTTTATCCTCACCCAAGGATATTTCTCCACTGATTGCCAGATAGAGGGTGTGGGGGAGCAGAGAGAGAGAGAAACATTGATGTGAGAGAGACACATTGATTGGTTGTCCCTCGCACGACCCTGAGTGGTGCTGGGGATTGAACTTTCAATCAAGATATGTGCCCTTGACTGGAATCAAACCCAAGACTTTATGGTCCACAGGCTGACACTCTTTTAAAAAAAAAAAAATATATATATATATATATATATATATATATATATATATATATATCTCTTTTAGATAGAGAAGGAGTAGGGGAGAGAGAGAGAAACATCAATGAGAGAGAAACATTGATGGGTTGCCTCCTGCACACGCCATACTGGGGATTGAGCCCACAGCCTGGGCATGTGCTCTTACCAGGAATTGAACTGGCGACTTCTGGGTGCATGGGATGAGCCACACCATCCAGGCTAGTTTTTCATTTTTAGATATTTGGCTTGTTTCTATGTTTGTTTGTTTTTTTAAATTTACCTTTCTTTTTTTCTTTTTCTTTCCTTTTTCTTCATTTTTAGTAAGACTATTCAAACATCTTTTGTGTATAAAGCTTTGCTCGCCTTTCAGATTGCTTTTAAATGATTAGGTCCCAAGGGTGAAAGTGAATTAGAATATATCATTTTGAATCTTTTGATAGATATCTTTGCCAAATTGATTTTTCTAATGAATAACAGCAGCTTATACATTATCATCATCATATGTGAAGTACCCATTTCACCTACTCCTTACAAGCCCTGAGTATTTAATTTAGAAAACAAATCTAATTTTATAAAGAAATTTGATCTCATTTGTAAAATGTTATATTACTTCTATATAGAGGTTACTTTACATATTTACACAGCACTGATCTGCTTTATTGATGTTTACCTCTAAAATATTTTTGCTTAAAAAGAGTGAATTAGGTAGGAATGATGGTTGTACAACATTGTGAATGTACGAATGCCACTGAATTGCTTGTTTAAAATGGTTATGTTTTGTGAATTTCACCTCAATAAGAAAAAAGCGTGCATGTGTGTGTGCACGAGCAAATGTGTCTGTGTATGCACTGCGTGGAAGCTGTCAGGCGTGGAGAGCTGCTGTGCCCTGCTTGGGCAGTGAGCGGCAGCCCGCTACAGCTTTCTGCAGAATTCTCCTAGAGCCTGAGTTGAATGTGTAATGCATGTTGCCTTTCTTTCTGCCAGTTATTTTGTGTGTTGCTTAATAATTTGGGCCTATACTAGATTAAAAATGGTTGATGAATGACAGTGTTTGACCTGCACTGAAAGGAGGGTATCTTGCTAGATGTTATCATGCAAGTTTTATGGCTGCCTGAGGAGCGATCAAATAAGCACTGCAGGAAACAGAGGGTAAAGATCATCCCAGTTAGGAAATGGTGGAAATTGCTTGACTTTATGAAGGGGATTATTTATACATGCTTGTATCCTGGGAAAAGTGGCCAACAGTATTAATGACTGGTAGTTAGAAAACCGGATAGCTAAAGCCCTAAAAGTGAAAGAAAGATTGCTGCCCAAAGCATGCAGCTGGGAACCCCTGTACACCTTTCAGGACATGTCTTTCTGCCCCATACAGGGTCGCTTTATTTCCTCTTTCTAAAGTAGTCTGCTGGTGTTCTTTAAGTATTCTCTATTAAGACTAAATGATTCTCATATGATTTATATGAACTCTTTATTATATTAAGACTATTAACTCTTTGCCAGCCATATTTATTGCAGATTTTATTCCCAGTTTGTTGTTTGCTTTTGAAAATGTGTTATTTTCAGATCTTTATAATGTATTAATTTTTGTGTTGTCAAGTCTGTTGATTATTTCTTTTGGTTTCATATCACTCTCATCTTAGCCTTTTCCTGTCCAGTAACTGATAAATACCTAATGTATTTTCTTCAATTAAAAATATTGTTTTTGAGTCTGTATTCTAAGGTAGAAATCTGAATTGCTTCCATATTGCTAGTTTTCTTAGTTGTTCTTGCAGGTGAACATTAGGGTAATTATGTTAATTTCCAGATCCAGTTTTGGGTCTTCATTTGAAGTGTGATAAATTAAAAGTTAATTTGGGAAAAATGGACACTTCTGATATATTTAATCTTACCATCCTAAGGCTCATTTTATATTTTTGTGATATTTTGTTTTTTTCTTTTCATGTAGGTTATACATATTTTTCATTAGAGGTTTTTATAAATATTTTGTTTCTTGTTTCTTATTCTACTGTGAAAGAGAGCCTTTTCCATATATTTTGAGATTAGTGCCTAGAAATAGTTATTGATTTTTTAATATTTATCTGGTAATTGATCAATTCCTCATACTTATTATGTAATACATATATAATATATATATGTATATATATATATACATATTTTTTTTTTTCTCCCTCTTTTTTTGGCCTGGCCCTAAGGAAGATTAAAATTACCTTAAGGTTTTACCCAATTATTGCCATTAGCAACAGGTTAGCGCTGCCTCCCATTCTCTAAGGTAAAACAGTCTAAGTTTGCTTTTATATAATTTTAACACTTATGGGAAATGGAAGAAAATGCATCTGTTTTTAAATTTTTTGGAAGGCTTCCATTTTAAATTATTTTTACTTTATTCTGAGTGCCCAAATGTAAAGTTGAAATACCTTTTTTATGTATTCATGTCACATTAAAGTCTTTTATCCTTTCTGGGAGGAAATAAAAACCTGATTTTATATTGAGGAAACCAAAACCCAGACAGTTTATTGAATTTCCTGTGTTTCTGTATTAAAGACTACATTGTTTTCTAACAATAAGGAATCATAAAGTTAAGAATATAATGATGTCCCTTTCCTCTTTTTTTTGTAACTAGGGAGAGAACGAGGACTGAATTTCTAATCAGTGTCTCTATCTTTCATATAATAATACCTGACATTTCCTGAGCGCCTTTAGACATTGTTCTAATGGACTTTATGTGTATTAACTCACATTGTTAATATGTTGTTCATAATAGCCTGTGAGGAGGGGGGGTATTACCGTCCTCCTTTATAGATGAGGAGAAACTAAACACAGATTAAATAATTGCCCAAGGTTTAGTGCTGCTAGAAGGCAGAGCTGGGACTTGATTCTAGGTAGAGTACTGAGTCCTTTGTTGTTTGAAAATACTGTTTTATTAACACCACAGTGGTAAACAACTTTATGCTTATTTTTTGTATAGATCACAGGGTCACATACAATTCAAAACCCACAAAGAAGCTAAGAGTCCTGACATTAAACGTGTCCTTCCTAAGATTCTTTAACTGTATGCCAATCTATCCTCAAACAGTAAAATTTGATTTTGCACCATTTTATATTTAATATGTCACATTTACATAGCAAAATAATGAAGGCACAGCTAATACAAGCAAACTTAAACCTTTTCTACTTATGAGCTGGGGGTGGGGACACACATTGAGATTAGTTCTTCAAGTATCTTTTTTCCAACATTAGCTTCATTGAAGAGTTCTGATAATTTTTCACAGCTACATTCTAAAAGGTACATGATAAAAAGACTTCACAAGGATCAAACTACGTAACACTGTATACACATGCTTTACAGAATTTGCTACATTCTACATCTATTCAAGTAAATTAATATTTCTAAAATGCTAGGTAGAGGGACTTAATACTTAAACATTTGGGGTCTTTCTTTTTATACCTTTGTAAATAGACACTATCAAGAAAACACATAAACATAAGACTGTAAATAATGAACATATATGCTGACAATATTATACAGGTTATATACCCTCCTTCTCAGAACCAGTTGTTTCTCTAAATTCAAATATTTAGAACATTCTTTAAAATTTGAAGTGGCATTTTCTTGGCCTCATTAACAGTACTGTCATGATCTCCATCACAGGCTTCCTTGATTTCATCACTCTTCTCTGAAGTATAAAGTTGATGTCTGGGTTACAAAAGCAAAGTCTTATAGATGAGTCTTTTCATTGGGTTCTGCTTTTTCTGCAGTGGAAAATTTCAGGACTAAAGAAATCGAAGAATTAAGCATTGAGAACATGTTCAGTCTTGGCTTGGGTGTTCCGTGCGTAGTGTGATGATAGTGTGATGAATGGGCTTCGAAGTGATTCTTTACTTCACATCTACTGACACCGTTAATAAGCCCTCAGTTCCAGTCCTCACGGAGGAGATCATGGAAAAAACGTCATTTTTAATTTAACTCGTTTTCTTCAACACCTTTTGATATATTTATTGGGTTCAAAATGAAAATCAAATTTGAAACGGACTGGTCAGGATCTGATTGTTTCAATTTAATATATTTTTAGGAATGTCAGAATTGAATCATTGTAATTTGGTCCAAAACCTGAGCCTAAGTTCACCAGTTTTCCAAAGAAAAGAAAAAAAAAACAAAAAACACAGGATTTTTTTTTCGTCGTCATTCTCTTCTTCCATCTCTGCCCCCGCTTATTTCTTGGCGTCATCGGACACCGCAGAGTGGGGACCCTCATCTTTGGCAGCCGCAGCCTCTGCCGCAGCCTCTTCTTCCTCCTCCTCCTCCTCCTCCCCCTCCTCCTCCTCCTCGTACTCCTCGTCGTCGTCCTCCTCCTCCTCGCCCTCCAAGGTCCATGCACATCCCTCCATCTCACCAGTGAGCTCTTGGATTTTGGCAAGTAAGGGCTTATAGATTTCGTTGTACTTTTTTTCCAGAGCCTGAAATTCCTTATCAAATTTGGCCTCTATCTTATCGCAGCGCTTCTGCAGCTTTTTGAGGGCCAGGACTCGGCATTTCACCGAGTTGGGCAGGCTCTCGAGAAAGTCGTTTTTCGGCTTCGGCGCATTCTCCGCGGGGGTCTGGGGCTCCTCCGGGGTCTGGCCGGCGGCGCAGTCGGAGTCGCCGGCCGAGCTGTCAGAGTCGCCCCCCTGCGCCCCGCCTTCCGCCATTACCTCCTCCGCCGCCGCCTCCGCCGCCTGGCTCGGCTCTGCGGGCGCCTGGTTCTCCGAGTCGGCCATGGTGGAGGAGAAGCCGCGGGGTCGGGGCTGCTGCAGAGACCTGCGTGCGAGCTGCACCGGCGCGGGCGTGCGGATGCGGCAAGTGGCGGCGGGGTCTGCCGCGGCAGTGACGTCGGCCGCGCCCCGCCCGCTCGGCCCGAGCCCTGGACTGGCTCCCCGGAATCAGCTGATGGCCGTGCCCCCATACTGCGACAGCTTCCTCCTGTTGCTACCCTGTGATCTCCCTGGCATCGCGACTGACGTCAGAACCCGTCTCCTGGATACGCTGCCTCCAGCCTGCCCGCATACCTGCCCCCTGTGAAGCTGGGCTGGGAGTGACAGCGGGCGCCCGGGACACGTTTCCGGAGCTGCGTGGATGCGACCCACAGTTTTCACTCTGCCCCTCTGTCCCACTTAAGTCCCCGTGTACATCTGCCAATACGTTGTCTTGGTCTTAGCCTGCATCTCTCCATGGCTGGCCTTGGTCGGCCTTGTAAGGTTGTCTCTCTGGCTTACTATTGTGGAGTCAGCGTTGATCACCTCTCAGATTCCTCCAAATTCCTTTCTAGAAAGTGGACCCACCCGAGAGCTGACTCCATTCCACCCTCTTTGGGGTTTGGCTGCATGTGTATGGACAATCCATCTGCTTTCCAACAACCCTCCTTGCCCATTTCTTTGCCTAGTGGCATGTATACGGGTGGCAAGGTCTTCTTTCAGCAGGATCGACCCTAGATCACTGTTTGAGACGTTTGGATAGGGAACCTCAAGCCCAGGTATTCTGGAATATATTCTAGAAGATTCCTCAGAATCCTTGGCCTCTGGGGAGGAATAAGGCTGGAGGAGCGCCCCGTCTTAATGCTGGTTTAGTACTGTGGGTCTTTGGGGCACACACACGTACAGACATGGTCCCTTTCAGTTTTAGCCGTGACTAAATTTGATGTAAGAATATATCTATATTTAGTTGGGCTGCCACTATATATATCCCATATATCACCTCTATATTCCATATATCATTTCTTGATAGCTGCAGCTGCATTGAGGTTAGAATGCTTTATCTCATTTTAAATATGAGGAATTTAGCAGAAAAATAAAGCAAAATAAATATTCCGTTATTATATGCATCACCTAAGTATCAGAATCGGGGGGGGGGGGGGGGCGGGCAGAAACCAGGCCTTCTAACTCCTGTAGTATAGAAGTTGTGACAGATTTAAAAACAAAAATAAATTTTAATCAAATACACCTGACAACTTAACTTGTTTGAGACAACCAGAATGTGTTCATGCTTTAAGATTTTTATGTTTCCAAATTTAAAAACCTTAAAACTTAGTGTTAAGCTAGGCTACTTTTTTAAAAAATCTGTCTTATTGAGATAGAACTTATGTATAATAAAATTGACCCTTTTTTAGGGTATTCTGACAAACACCATCATGTAGTACAGTAATTGAGATTTATAATAGCAACATCATCCCCCCACATTTCCTCATGGTCCTTGTCTTACTGCCAGCCCTGATGAGCACTGATCAATTTCCTGTCTCTCTAATTGTGGGGGTTTTCCTCCCCAGAATATCATATAAATGGAATGATGTCTGTGTAGCCTTGTGAGGATGACCTTTTTACTAGGCATAATGCATTTGCAATTCCTTCGTGGTGGCATTTATATTAGTAGTGTGTTCCTTTTCATAAGTGAGTAATATTCTTATTTGAGTTTCCAGTTTTTTTATGAATAATGAACATTATCTACCTTTTTTTGTGTGAATGAAAATGTATGCCTCTTGAGTAATACCTAGAGATGGTAAACGTAGGTTTAACTTTTTGAGAACCTACCACACTGATATACAAAGTGGCTGTATCAGTTTGCTTTCATACCAGCAATGTACGCGAGTTGCAGGTGCTCCACATTCTCACTATCATTTGATATTGTTGGTTCCCCCCTAATATAATAACTGTGTATGTATCCTTAATGATTAATGATATTGAACATTTTCTAACATGCTTATGTGCCATTCATATAGCTTCCTTAGATCTTTTCCTATTTTCTAAATTGAGTATTTTGCTTTCTTATTAATTTTGAAATGTTTTAATATATCCTGGATACAAGTCATTTATGAGATGTTTCGTAAATATTTTCTTCCAGTCCGTGGCTTGCTTTTTCATTTTTGTAACAGTGTCTTCAAAAAGCAGACGTTTTAAGTTTTGATAAGTCAATTTTCTTTTCTTTTATAGATTATGCTTTTGGTGTCATAGCTAAGAAATCTTTTTCAAACCCAAGTCCCTAAAGATTTATTCCTATGGTTTCTTCTAGAAGTTTCATAATTTTAGGTTTCACATTTAGACTATGATCCATATTAACTTTAATATAGGTGTGAAAGATATGAATTTCCTGTTGATCCTCTACCTTTATTAAAAACATTATTCTTTCTCAACTGAATTGCTTTTGCAAATTTGTTAAAAATTAATTGACTATCTATATCTGGGTTTATTTCTGGACTATCTGTTCTGTTGATTTTTATGTGTCTGTTCCTTCACTCTTACCACACTTTTACCTGTAGCTTTATAACAATTTAAAGTCATGAAATTAGGTAACGTAAGTCCTCTAACACTTTCCTTTTTCAAAATTGTTTTGGCTCTTCTAGTTCGTTTGACTTTCTATATAAATTTCAGATTCAGTTTGACAGCTTTTTTAAAGACCCTTACTACAGTTTGGATTTAGACTTCCAAAAACCATTGATAATGCACATACTAACTGCTCCTTTAAATTTGTGTTTAAAAATTGTCAACTCATTAACAATGGTGTCATTTTGTGGGTTTTATGGACTCTAGTGTATAACTGGGGCTGCAGTAGCATGTAGTTGTGAATAGTGTGGATGAACTATCATGCTGTGAAGTCTGTATCTCCGCATACTGCAATTTCTCTGCATCTGTCACAGTGGAAATGAAGACAAGCAAGGTAGGTGGAGGGGAGAGCACTCCGGTCAGGTAGTTGAGAGCATAGTCTGTGCTCAGACGCCTGGCTTCAATTTCTGCCTCTGCCCATGCATTAGTTGTTTGTCTTAGATTCAGTACCGAAATCGGAATACTGACTGTATTACCTCAAAAATTTGTTTTTGTATATTTATTCCTATTGGAACATAATTCTCATACCATAACATTTATTCCAAGGGTAGTTTTGAATATTCACTGAGATAGTGTATATCTAAGAACTTCTTTTAATGAACAGCATTTAGTAAACACTCCAGAACTGTTACTGATTATTATTAAAGAAAAGAATGTGTTGAGAGCAATACTAACTGACACGTAGAGATTAGAGTCTACATGTTACTGTAGTAGGGCTGCTATAACAAAGTACACAGCCTACGGGACTTAAACAATAGAGATTTATTGTCTCAATTCTGGAGACTAGAAGTCCAAAATCAGGGTGTTGGCTGGGTTGTTTTTTCCTGAGGGCTGTGAAGGAAGGAACTGTTCCAGGCCCCTCTCCTGTCTTGTGGATGTCTTTCTGCTCCTCGGGTCTCTTCCCATTGTGTTTCCTCTACGCATGTCTCTGTTCAAATTTCCCCTTGTCAAAAGGACACCAGTAACCTCATTTTAACTTGATTACCTCTGTAAAGACCCTATCTCCAAGTAAGGCTATCTTCTGAGGTACTGGGAGTTAGAATTTCAATATATGAATTTTAGGGGGACACAATCCAACCCTTAACACACCACTCTCTGGCTCTCTCAAATTCATGCCCTTCTCACCTATAAAATATACTCACCCCATTCTAACATCCTTCGAAGTCTTAAATGATTTCAGCATCAACCTTAAGTTCCAAATCTCATCTGTGATGGTTAATTTTATGTGTGAAGTTGACTGGGCTATGAAATACCTGGACAGTTGGTCAGACATTACTCTGGGTATATCTTTGGATGTCTCTGGATGAGGTTAATATTTGAGTAAAGCAGATTGCCCTCCCTGGTGTGTGTGGGTCTTACCCAATCAGCCAAGGGCCTGAATAGAACAAAAAGCTGACTGCTTTTAAGCTGGGACATTAGATTCAGTACTGATTGTATTTACCTCAAAAAGTTGTTTTTGTATATTTTGTATCCTTCAGACTCTAACAAAAACAACCCAGCCAACACCCTGATTTTGGACTTCTAGTCTCTAACAGAAACATCGGCTCTTTCTGATCTCAAGCCTGCCTGCCTTTGGGCTAGAGCCACACCACCAACCCTTCTGGGTCTCCAGCTGGCTGACTACAGATCTTGGGGTTTATCAGCCTCCACAATTACATGAGCTAATTTTTTATAATCTCTCTTTCTATAATATATATGTGTATATATAAACATGTATATATGTGTGTATGTATATATATACATACATACATACACACTACTGGTTCTGTTTCTCTGGAGAACCCTAATATATCATTTAAATCAGGTATGGGTGGGACTGGGGGTTTGATTCATCCTGAGGCAAAAGTCTACAGCTGTGAACCTCTGAATCAGACAAGTTACTGTTTCCAGATACAATGGTGGGACAGGCAGAGGACAGGCATTCCCATGTGGGAGAAATCAGAAGTGGGGAAGGGGTACAGGTTCCAAGCCCATCTAAAGCCTATCAGGGTAAATGCCATTAGAGTTTAAGGCTTGGAGAATAATCTTCTTTGGCTCCACGCTGTCCTCTGGCCCACTGGGGTAGTGGCCCTGTCCCTCGACCTGTGCGCATGGTGATAGTGTTAGCCCTGTTGGACTCTGATCTGTCTTTGGGGTTATTCCCTTTTCTTGAAAGAAATACACCTACCTGTTTGCAGCCAGTTAGCTCTATTGGCTCATTTTATACCCGTGGGATCCCATAAGTCTGACAGCCTTCATTTCATTCCATCTTTGCCCCTTCTGCTGGTGTAAAATTCTGAAAAACCTCATTGGTCTCCCAGGCAATTCACAGGAGTCCAAACTTACGTCTACATTTTTAGGTGTTTGGTAGTGTAGCATCCCACTTCCTGGTACCAAAGTCAGGGCTTCCTAGAGAAACAGAACCAACAGGATGTCTGTCTATTACTATTTTAAGGAATCTGCTTATGTGATTGTGGAGCCGACAAATCAGAACTCTACAGGGCAGGCCACGGGCC